ACCTAGAGATTAATTTTGGATTATTGAAGAGTGTTTTTTGTTGCTTTTTAATGCTCAAGGATATGATAAACAGTAGTAACTTAACATCCTGAGATCATTGGAGAGTACCAAAGTCATAGTTAAGAAAGTGATTTTACGGGTTTCTGTGTTCCTCCCAAATCATATTTTTGCCGAGAGTTGGATGTTTCCTCTTCCTGTGTGTTTCCAAATTGACTTTTAAATTTCACATCAGTGTTCTCTTATTTGAAGGCCATTTTTAATAAAGATAAAAGGGTCATCAATTTAAAGGAGACTATAAATAGAGAGTACCAAATTTAGAGACTCAGGCACTGGGTGCTTGGCAAACTTGCAAGCAAAGTGATTTGCTCCAGGATCCTGCACTCAATTCACATTTGTGTTTCACACCCATTGTTGGGTGGTTGGACACCCCATTGTGACTTAGTCCTGAAAAATTGAAGTCACAGATATGGCTTTGGAGAAATAATCTATTCCAGTGTTTACTGATGATTGATAAGTTGTTATTTCTTTTAATTAGGTTTTGTGTGATAATACCATGTTCACTGACATTTATGTATAGTGTTATATCTGGCAGGTTCTTACCATAATTTTTATTTCCATAACAACATTTATACCAAAGATACATACTTTCTTATATACATCATTATTTAGACTATATTTGCCTTCTTGAATTTCAGTTCAGGTAATCTTTTCTAGTTCCCTAAGGTATAATTAAATAGTTTCCATTATGAAACTGTCAGCTGCATGCTAACATATCTAGGTCGCAGGGACCTTTACAGATAATTTCATATAAATCTGCAGTTGTTTGTCTCAATTAAAAATGTATTTTTAGAGAGGTCATGGCAGTTTCTTGACTTCTGTTTCTTAAGTTCTGCCTAACTTTTTTGGACAGTTTTTGTTTCCTTTGTTTCCTCATCTCAATTATTATTTTAGACCCTTTAAAATATTCATTGGTCTTAAAAATATTTTTTGCATAGTTTATATACTAGTCACTGGAGGGTAGGCACAGTATTTGAACTTCTTACTGCATTACTTTTTACTGCTCATTTGGACCACATTTATGTATTCATACATTCAACAAAAGATAAAGTCTCTGGTGGAGAGAAACGAGCTATAAACAAAATACTGTTTAATATCAGAAATGGTTAAGTACAATAAAGAAAAATAGGGGGTGCCTGGGTGGCTCAGTCGTTAAGCATCTGCCTTCAGCTCAGGTCATGATCCCAGGGTCCTGGAATTGAGCCCCACATCGGGCTCCCTGCTCCGCGGGAAGCCTGCTTCTCCCTCTCCCACTCCCCTGCTTGTGTTCCCTCTCTCACTGTGTCTCTCTCTGTCAAATAAACAAACAAAATCTTAAAGAAAAAAATAGGATAATGGACTACAGAATAACTGAGGAAGGGCTGCTATATTAGATAAGATGGCCCATGAAGATCTTTGTCAAGATCACCTTGGAACAGAGACCTAAATGAAGGGAGGGTATAAGCCATGGGGATACCAAGCAGATGAGGTATTCTTTTTTTTTTTTTAAAGGATTTTATTTATTTATTTGACAGAGAGAGAAACAGTGAGAGAGGGAACACAAGCAGAGGGAGTGGGAGAGGGAGAAGCAGGCTTCCCGTGGAGCGGAGAGCCCCATGTGGGGCTCAATCCCAGGTCCCTGGGATCATGCATGATCTGAGCCAAAGGCAGACACTTAACGACTGAGCCACCCGGGCGCCCCGCAGATGAGGTTTTCAAGTGGAGGGAGCAGCAAGTGTTAAAGCTCCAAAGTGGAAACATTCTTGGCATATTTGAGAAAGTACATGGAGACCAGTGTAACTAGAGCAGAGAGAACAGGGGGGAGAGAAGATGAAGTCTCAGAGATGGGATCACATCATAAGGGTCTTGAGGGATGGTTGTGAACATAAGAGAGAGGTGATTTGATTAATGGTTGAAAAGGATCACCCTGACTGCATGTGGGCAGTAATGAAAGCGTGGGATCAGTGACTACATTTCTTGGATGATGACCACCCCAACCCCAGTAAGAAATATATTTTGTAACATTACTCGATTCCAGTTTACTCTTCTTTCACATATTTGTGTGGTAGTGTTCTCTCTAGAGAGAGACACTTAGCAGAGTTTCCTTGTGATGGGCCAAGTTTCGGAGATCCTTGTTCTGATTTGAATATAATAAAGGGATTCTTACCAGATTGTTACCCAAGAAAGCTGCCCAAGGGACATGTTATCGATGTAGTGAACTGGGGACTGAAATACCATTATTAGAAGATGCAGCACACATCAGTCCTTACTCTGAGAACACCCCCCTCCCAAATTTTGAAGGAATTGAAGATTTTCATGTAGGATCAGGTTGCATCTAGAATAATTTTAAAAACCGTAGTGGATCTTCCTCTTCAATCCATTGATACCTTTGCAGGTAGGAGCAACTAATGCATATCTCACTATTCCTAATCTTGACAGTTCCTCAGTGGAAAACTAGTTCTAGGAGAAGAGTAGTTCAGGGGTATGATGGGTTCTGGAAACCTCGGCAGAGATAGGCTCACTGCAGCCAGTCTCCCAGAGTGGATACTTGTGAAGTGACTACATACATACCACGGATTTCTTCTATTGAAAGAGACACTGTTAAAGGAATAAAAAGTTTAACAAGAAATCCAAAGGTAAAAACGTACCATAAGACCTTCACTGTCCAGAATTGTTTAAGATCTTGTTTAGAAGTATTACTCTGGCAGTAAATTGCAAAGAATGATAAATGCAGACCTGTAATACATGGTCCTTTCAGGAAAACTAAAGATTTGATACCAAAAATAGATTTGATATTTTTTTCTTCCATAAAGTATGGTGTTTATAGATGATATAGAAGGATGAGGTTGATATCCAGAGCATAGAAGATGGCAATGTAACAAAAACTTTTAAAATTCTAGTTTAAGTAAATTTTGTCCACATAAACGTATTTTACCACAGGTTTGTTTTGTAGAGGATTATTTTGAGGGGTAATTATAGTCATGTTTTGCAGACAGATTTCAGCAGTATTGCAGCTACATCTGTGCAAAGTTTAATAATAGATTTTAAAAATACTTCTGGAAATTTTCTTTTCCTATGGCTCTTAACCTGAACAGAATATTTGTTAAAACGTTTGTTAGATATTATGTTCCATGTTACTGTAATTGGGAGTAAACTGTGTGTGCTTCTGTGTGTATAGATGTAGGTGTAGATATATAGTGATGCCCAACACTTAAACCACTGTAATGATTGAATAACAAAATAGTAAAAGTTTTTAAAGTCTTCTAGATCATTTTTTTATTTTCAAGTGTAGGAACATTGGATTTTGAATGCTGATCCCTACCTTCTCTATTGAAGTAGAGTAATCTGAGGCTTCAGAGAAGAAAGGCTTTGAGAAATCAACCTTACACTAACCACTTAATAGTGGGGAAGCTTCTTATGTATCAGGAGCCTTTAGTGCCTTTCCTTCCCTCAAACCAGTGTGCAAAGAGGACATTCCATACCTAAGCACAGCAAGACCAGCAGGACATCCTAAAGTAGTGTCTCTCGTGCATCTAAAAAATGAAGCATTATTAATCTTCCACTGAACGGAAAGGAGTTGCATTACTGGGTAAGGCTTAGGGATAGGACAGAAGTATTATTGAATCCACCACTTGCTCATAAGTAACAAACAAAGTTTTAAAACAGTATCTCATTTTTCAGATTTATGAAATGTGTGTGAATGTCATAATGCCATCTCATGCCCAGATGGCTTTATCACAATGTCGCTGGTTTCAAAATGCTCACATTTAAACCTCTTGTCTCTCAGCCTCTCTTACCAGAATTTCAGAAACGTCATCACATGACCTAGCAGTTTTTTTACTCCATTTCAAGAAAGCATTAGAGAAATATTGCCTCACTGTCATCCCCTTTACCTCCCCTTCCCATCTTTAAAAAAATAATAACCGAAAAGTTAGGTTGGTAGTATGACACCGCAGAGAAAAAAGGCAAGGAATGTGTGGCAGAATTGATGTAATATCCTCAAAAATATTTAGGGCAGGCCACTTGTTCATCTGGGCACCTCATACTGAGACAATAGCACTAGATACTGGGAAGGTATATTCAAAACTCTTTAGGGATATAAAATCATACCTTATTTACACTTACAATAATTTTTATTCATATCTTCCTGGCTCTAGCCAGATGGCCATGAAATCATTATGGCAAAGAATAGATCAGAAATTCAGATACCTAATCTACTCATGCAAACTAACTTAGAGAAAAGAGAAATAAATAAAAATAAATTAACCTCTCATAACCTTCAGATCATCCTCCCTCAGTTTTCTTTTCATGTAATGCCAAATAAACACCAAGTGTGCTTACTTATACTACCTATAGTCACAGCTGTCATTTAGATAAACCGGCAAATGTGGAAAATCTATGGAATTTGCCAGATAACTTTTTTCTTATGGATAACTTACCAATTTCATTCTAAATTATTGATATGAACTTAAGTATAACATTAATGTAGCTTTTCTGTGGTCTGCTAGAAACTATGTTTCACTCCTTAATATTGTAATAAAATGTGAGGACATAATTAGATTGAATATGTAAGCCTTTCATCTTTTCCATTCTGTTTAAGTAGAAGTATCTGCATAATAATTACTATAGCAGAACTGAGTTTTCTTATTAAATCTTTTTTGTATTTGACCCTATTTCTTGCTTGAAAATTCAAAGGTGTTTATAATGATGAAGTTGTTTTCTACTGAAAATAATTAATAGCCTAAGTGGTATTCTGCTTCATTTTTCTTCCAGTTGATTTTAAGAGTTACTAAAATGAAACAGTTCTGAAAAATCTCAATGTATTAATTATATTTATTTAAAAATATGTATCAGAGCTGACTTCCGTCTTTGAGATATGTTCTGTCCACTTGCATGTGCAGGTCATCTCACCTGAGTTTTTTGTTTTGTTTTTGTTGTTGTTGTTGTTAAAATGTTAAATTCAGGTTCTACATGGTCAGCTATTATGAACGGAATCACAGAATAGCAGTTGGAGCTCGCCATGGTTCAGTGGCCCTGTACGACATCCGGACTGGAAAATGTCAGGTAAATAAATCATTGTGACTTCCTCTCTATAAAGTGTGAAAGTTATTGAAAGGAATGAGAGACTAGCACTTCACCAGTTGACGTGCTGAGCTGCTGGAACATTATGGATAATGCTAAAGGGATCAATAGTTTAATGAAGGACTCAAAGAATATAGAGCCCTACTGTCTTTATTCACCGGCATCGAAGGGTGGCCACAGATGGGTTCATAAGAGACCCCAGAGAAAGGTGGTTGTGCTTGCCAGCTACTTTGCAATAAGTCTCTTCGTTTAAACAGTTTTCTGATTCTTCTATTTTTGCCGTGCATTTTTTTTTTTTAAGATTTTATTTATTTGAGAGAGAGAGAGAGAGCATGAGCGGGGGAAGGGGCAGAGGGAGCAGGAGAAGCAGACTTCCCTCTGAACAAGGAGCCATGCAGGCTTAATCCCAGGACCCTGGGATCATGTCCTGACCTGAGGGCGGACACTTAACTGACTGAGCCACTCAGGCGCCCCTGCCATGCATTTTCTGAAAAAAGTTTTTTTTTTTTTTTTAGAGCCGAGAGGTCTCACATTTATTACTGAACCAACCTACTGGTGCAGAGGCATAGTCAGAGAGAAAAATCATTTCCATGATAAGACAAGTCTGTGGCCAGGTAGGAAGGATGTTTACAGAATGATAGAACACATGATCTTCACGCAGCTTAATTAAATATGTATGCCAATTAGTTGTGTCATCTCATGACATGTGACGCCTTACAGACCCAGCTTGATTCTTCTCCAGTGCCTCCTTTTGGAGTTGTACCTGATCTTATTGCCAGTTTTCATCCGAATCCACTGGGGAATGGGACGATTCTGCTTTTGTTTCTTGGCCCGGAATCGCTTGATTCTGAAAGTCTTGTGAGAAGGCATGGCGAGAAGCAGCCGGCCACGCAGAGCAGGATGGCGGCGAAAAAGAGCTGAAAAAAGTTTGATGATACATTATTATGATCAATGACTAACCCAAAATTAATTTTCTAAGTAAAATGAGGGATTTGGCAATTCTAAGACCGCTTTCTAGCCAGAGTTCAAGAGAAGAAGAAAACCACAACAGCATTTAGTATGGCTGTATAAAAAAGAAACTGATGAAATAATATATTATTTTTATACTTTTATAACTCTTTATTTTTGAAACACTTTATTGTTTATGAAGAATTGTTCTTGATTTTGATGACTTGATTCTCAAAATGTACCAGTTGGTTATGGCAAGTCTGGCCCCACTTTAGATATTAAGTGAATCAAAACTCCGGGAGACTTTGAATCTCTTTATCCCAGAGGTCATACTGTTAACAAATGGCAAAACCGGGGCTGAGCTCCCCTGTGATCATGGTGAGTTTATAGTGCTCATTGGTAAATAGTTCCAAGTCATAACTTTTTATGTTTCATTATAGCATTTATCAGTGCTGATCTATTCAGCCAGATTAGGAATTATATTCACCTGTATTAGATAAGTATATATTCAGCTGTATTAGGAATTTCCAAAAGGAATATGAAGAAATTAATAATGATATAGCTAAAATTTTAAACTGCCTCTTAAATTTAATAGGCTGTTAATTCAAAAGTTTCCCTGGCTGCTTTCCATGAAAACAGTAGTGCTAAGACCTGGTAATAGATGTTGGGGGTAAAAATTTCAGGGGTCAGGCAAGTTTAGGGGATACTGTTGGAATGTTGAACACGTTTCTTTATGCAAACTTTCTCAGTCCCTAATGTGTGAATATGCATTTTGTGTGAGTGCATAGAGGGTGCACCATTTGCCGTACTTGTGTAACTGTTGAATTTTGTTTCTGTGAATTTTTTGACATTAACTCCTTCTCGATGGCCATATTTTTTTTTTTACTCTGAACTCTGAGCAGTGAAATCACTCTAAATACTTTTTTAAAAATTAAGTTCCATGTTGTTTGTAAGATTCTCTCCTAAAAGGGACAGATTCTTCAAATAGTATTTTCAGAATCTATTTTGGTAAGACGGTTTTTAAAAATGAGAGTATATTATTACTAGCAGACTTGAGAGAAATAAATCACAAACATCGATAAGGTAAAGACAAAAAAAAAATAGAACAAAGGGACCTTTTCAAGCTTCTTTAAAATTGAAGTATAGAAATCAGAGAGAAGACTGTTACTGGAGAAGACACAGCTGGCACCAGCAGAGAGAAACGTGATGCGCTGTGGACACAGTGAAGTAACCCAGAGGAGTGAAGGAAGAATAGCAGTTAAGAATTAAGGACAGAGTACCAAACTGTCCTAACTATACATATCTTGACAGTTTTCTTCCTCCTCAGTGGTCTCAATGAAGGTCTTGGGAACATGCAAAAAACATAATAATTTGAATATTTTATTCTTTTTAATTAAATTACTCAAGATACACTTATTAATCAAAGGCATTCTTTCTTAACAGGAATTTGTAATGTCATTCATATTCCATTTTATTTTCTGTCCATCATTTTAGTACATTTAGGCATTTTAGTGCCCCCGGATTTTTTGGTCTACTTCAGCTTCTTGATTTTGATATCCCAAATTACCGTTAGTGTTCTATAACTGAATAACCTTTACCTTCCAGCTCTGTATGAAAGTAAAGGTTGCCTTTTCTTCTAATCATTCAGAACATGAAAACGAAGCTAAATCCCCAAACTCAGTCTTAACTACTTTTGCCAGTTACCAGTTACATCCAGTGACAGTGACACTTCGGGGATTCTCTTAACTCTTTCATGGTGTCAGTGTTGTAGTATTTGAAATAAGTGAGTCAACAGTTGACACAGAATACACAAGTATAATTGGCATGTTCAGAAATGATGTCTTAGAGGTGAATCCAAGGACTAGGAATTTTGAACTGGGAATGCAGTAAGGCATTTCCTGAATTAGCTATTGGAATCAGTTGACAGAGAGAGTGGGACAGTTTTCCTAGCATGAGCAAAGACGCGGAGATAGGACCTAAAACATATAGAGAGGATAATTAGTAAATTCACTGGACTCTAGGGAGTGGGGTTCCAATTAGGTGGAAAGATAAGACATAACCACTGTACAGGGAGAGTCACAGCTGATGGAAAATCTGCTGTGGTCTGTCCAGGATGCCAGATGCTGAGAGAATATTCCTGGGCCCAGAGGAGGCAGAGAACCCAGGACTGAGGGAGGCAGGGGAGGACACGTAGATTCTCTGTCGTCGTTACTAGATTGGTTGGTAACAGCATAGAAACACTAAACCCCTTTCCCTTACCTTTTGGCATTGGCTGCTTTTTTTTTTTTTAATGTTTTTTATTTATTTATTCATGAGAATCAGAGAGAGAGAGAGGCAGAGGGAGAAGCAGGCTCACCACAGAGCAGGGAGCCCGATGTGGGACTCGATCCCAGGACCCTGGGATCATGACCCGAGCCGAAGGCAGACGCTTAACCATCTGAGCCACCCAGGCGCCCTGCTTTTTTTTTTTTTTTTAACCCATTTTCTACTTGTTCTTCCCAAACAGACATAATAGGAGATAATACAAAGCTACAGAATAAATATGCATATTTGTCTGGAACATGAAGTTTACTTAAGTGTTCTCAAGCTCTTGCCCAGATCGGCCTGCCCCCGTTTCAGTAAATGAAGTTCTGCTGGAACACAGCCACGCTCCTTGCTTTGAGGGCTGCGTGTGGTGCCATCCACTACAACAGCAGAATTGAGTGGTTGTAGCCAGCAAAGACCATACATGGTGTGCAAAGCTGAAATATTTACTGTGTGGCCCTTTACAGAAAGAGTTAGCTCACCAAGAAGGAAAATGCTGCAATGTAACATATCGGAGAAGATGAACTAGAAACTGGGCAGCTTGCATCCCATCTCCACTGCTTGTGAATTTCATAACCTTGGGGAAGTTTCTCAACCTGTCTGAGCTAAAGTTTCCCCACTGTAATCAGTGATAGAAATAGTGCCTGTTCTTGCGCGAGAAGTAAATAAGGTAATTGATGTGAAATTCTTAGCACAGTGCCTGTCGAGCTGTTAGTCTTTGGTAAGCGCTGGTTGTTATTATATTCAAATAAACTTGGAAATACATCACACTGCAGTTAAATTACATTAATTATAGAGAACGTGAAAGGTCACACATGAGACATGAGGGTGTTGGTAGTAGACTCTGGGACCAGTTCACAGTCGTCAGTGAGGAGCACTTTGGTGGACAAGTTAAGCAGGACTGCCTTAGGCAGCCCTTCCTAAAGGTAGCTCTTGCCTGTGGTGTTAGGCTGACTCTCCACTGATAGTGGAAATCACAACTTTGATGCAGTTCACTAATTAAAAATCCTGCTGTGTTGCTGACTTCACTTTTACCTGGCAACTGCTAGCAATTTAGGCATATACCTGACTCGGATTTTGCTTAATTAAAAAAAAAAAAAAAGAAAAGTAACTCCCTATGAAGTACTTAAATTTTGTTGATAGGCAGTATTCTTGATAAGCAGGCCAATTAAGTTCCATGAATCCTTAGAGCTACAGGTTTGTGTGTGGTTAAATCAGCAATGAAAGTCCTCCCTCTAGCAATATTTGCCTTTGATTTGGCAGACTTGATATTATGTCTCACTGATTTTGCAATCTTTTTGAAACACAGTGTTTGTAATAAATAACTGCTGGCTCTGTGCAAGATTCTCTTAGGCTCATGTTGGCTAGTTTTCCTCTCGAAGTTTGTACCGTGTCACTTGGAGGTATCTGATCCACTTTGGTAAATACAGATACTTCCTTTTCCATAGTGCTCAAAAAACACCACAGTGATGTATGACAGAAAGTAAGGCTTCTGCCTTACCTTTCTAAATCTTGAATTATTAAAAGAACTTTACTATTGAAAAGTTTAAGTTCCTTAAAAAACTCATTTTTGAAGTCTATTTTTTAGTGCCTAGAACATAGTGGATGCATAACAGAATACATGTTGATCAAATAAAACACTCTGAGTCTTTGGAGTAAAAAATATAATAAGAAACATTATATGACATGGTAAATGAAACTAAAGTATGGCTTAAATATATCAAAAATATGTGGGTAATTTGGGGCATAGTTGTATTTTGGTTTGTCAGAAACACCTTATCAAACTGTTTCTAAGGGATATCTTATAGGATATCTTTTCAGAAATAGCATAAAGAACATCTTTCTTATGAGTCATGGAAGGTACCTATATTTCTGTAGTAGACCATGACCAGGTCTGCCATAGGCCAGATAATGAAGGAAAAAACAGAAGCAAAGATTGATTGTATTCATAGCACTGTGACAACTGAGGTCTAGCTATAATCCATTCTAGACCAGAAGGTAAATTCTGGAATGCTGATGTGTGAGCCATCACACAGCTTAATGCTGTAAGAAGTAATGAGTGCATTTTGAGTTCCTCTGGCCTTAACAGATTCCTTACTCTATGTAGGATAGATGCCTTGAACTTCAGATGTCACCTTACAGTTGGGCTCAGCCCAAACTCCAGGCCCTGAGGCTTTTATCTGCGAGACATTTCCATTTCGCTATCTTGTCACTGTTTCAAATTCAGTGTTTTAGAAAATCTAAGCCTACATTCTACCAGCGTCTTTTCTAACCTACCTTTTTCTGTTAATGGCGCAATTATATAATGACATCACAGTTCTTACTCCTTGTCGTTTACCCATCTATATCCAGTCACTGAGTTCATTGCTCTTTCCTTAACAATATACCTGAAATCTACCTTGTCCTCTGCTAACAACCTAAATTAGGCCCTTGACCTTTGTGCTTCAGGGCTTTTGAGATTCTGGCTTTGATCATCATAAATAATCCCCTCCTCCTCTGAGCTGCATTTCATTCAATAACATCATCCTCTGTTGTTCCCTGTCATGGTCCTCTCCCAGTGTACATAGGAAGCATTCAAAAATATCTGTTGGATGATTCGTTGCAAACACAGTGAAGATTTCAAGAAGTGCCCCTTTCCAATTACTTT